TCATATTTCGATCAATATACAATTATCGAAGGCTCCGATATGAGAATGGAAAGGGTCAGGACAATTTTACGACAATTTAGAACACTCTGGTAATTGATAAACTCGCATTTGAACAGGATAAGGGCAAAGAAAGTGTTGTACGCGCTTCTATGCTAAAACGATGGGAATACGGGATCTCGGAGTGAAAATTTAATTGACCTGGAAATCACAGATGGGGCAGGGTGTCCCTCTGTAGTCAATTGGGGCCCCAGAAAGCTTGAATCCAGAGGATTTCTGGAGTTTTACTCCGATTTCTTGATATTTATTGTACGAAAACGACAGGTAGAGTATGCCATTTGGTACAATATCCAATATAATTCGATACAGCTGTCAATATAAAAATAAACGTCAGCAACATAGGCATTTAGAAAAATCTTCTTTATCGACGTTGATCAAGTTCCTCGACGTGTTTCACTTCACCTTAAAGAACGTAACGTAACGAGCGCGGTAGACGCGAAACGTTACAATAACCTGAAGTTAGTTTAGTCAAAAAGAAACTATTTAAGTTGCGTACACATCGTACGAGGCATTCGTTTTGCCTCGTCCGCGTTCGCGCACATATATGTACGCGCCTTTAGGTCATTTTGATAGTCATTGACGCAGTAACATTCAGTAATGACTCATCCGTCTAAATTCCAATTCCTATGTTTCCATATGTGCCCATAATTATGAAAGTGGTCTAAGTCATATATTTTTTATTTCGAAATTACATTGAATTAATTTCGTTTGAAATAATATGGCGTGAAATAACTGATAAACTCATTTTTTTTTGTAATTTTGACTTAGACCACTTTCATAATTAGACTTTTATATAGGCGAGGAGATTTGATTCTCGAGTGGAGAAGGAATAAAAAATTGAAAAATTGAATTGAATTGAAATTGAAATTGAATTGAAATTTTATCGATGGAATAGTTTTTTTAGCGTTGGCAGACAGTAACTCAGAATGGATTTCAATTTATGTCGATTGGACTCGTATCGATCCGCACTGCGACTTTTATATAGGCGAGGAGATTTGATTCTCGAGTGGAGAAGGAATAAAAAATTGAATTGAATTGAAATTGAATTGAAACTGAATTGAAACTGAATTGAAATTGAATTGAAATTGAATTGAAATTGAATTGAAATTGAATTGAAATTGAATTGAAATTGAATTGAATTGAATTGAAATTCAATTGAAATTTAATTGAAATTTTATCGATGGAATAGTTTTTTTAGCGTTGGCAGACAGTAAGTCAGAATGGATTTCAATTTATGTCGATTGGACTCGTATCGATCCACACTGCGACTTTTATATAGGCGAGGAGATTTGATTCTCAAGTCGAGAGGGAATGAAAAATTGAAAAAGACGCGTTCGATGGGGCATAGTGAGCGTCCACCCTCGCAGTTTGCAAATTAGTGAGAAAAATTGAATGCTCGGGTAACAGGTGGTATGGAGTTGCAGTCGCTTGGCCTTTTGTCGCCATTTTGCCGGAATTTCTGCCTGGAGGATCGAATTTGCCAGCTAGCTCGTCTTCGAGTGCAGCCAAGCTGATGAAAATGCGATCATCTCTTGTCAGCTATCAGCACTCTACGATGGCGAAGTTTAAGAGAGACGGACGCCCCATTATGGCGCCGATGGATCTCCATTACCCTTTGAAGAAACGCGTCTTCGATATACCTGATCAATTTATGTGGGGAGATAGCATGCTCGTTGGTAAGTCTTCTCAAGCCTGATTACTTGCGTATCGATCGCACATCGGGATATAAGGTATTACTTCCCTAAATGCACTTTTCATAGCATTTTTTTTCAGGCTTGTTCAGTGCATTGTTTAGATTTTTATCTACAAAATAAGCCCATTCAGAACCACCCACTAGGTTGTAAATATTATCTAAAAATTTTATTCATAAAAATATCGAGTTTACTAATAAATTCGATATTTTCCCTATAATCGGACTTTAAAAGTTTCAAGAATTACCCAGACATTTGATTCGCCAAAATATCGAGCTTACTAATAAAGTCGATATCTTCCCTGTTGTAATGTTCAAAATGTTAATAATATTACGTAGAAATTTAATTCGTCAAGACATCGAATGTACTAATAAAGTCGATATCTTCCTGATTGTTAAATAAAAAAAAAATGCAAATATTACCTAGAAATTGAATTCGTCAAGACATTGAATGTACTAATAAAGTCGATATCTGCCTTAATGTCAAATTCAAAAAATTGCAAATATTACCTAGAAATTTAATTCGTCAAGACAACGAATGTACTAATAAAGTCCATATCTGCCTTATTGTCAAATTCAAAAGAATTGCAAATATTACCTAGAAATTTAATTCGTCGAGACATTGAATGTACTAATAAAGTCGATGTCTTCCTTATTGACAAATTCAAAAAGTTACTAATATTACCTAGAAATTTAATTCGTCAAGACATCGAATGTACTAATAAAGTCGATATCTTCCTTATTGACAATTTCAAAAAGTTACTAATATTGCCTAGAAATTTAATTCGTCAAGACATCGAATGTACTAATAAAGTCGATATCTGCCTTAATGTCAAATTCAAAAAATTGCAAATATTACCTAGAAATTTAATTCGTCAAGACATCGAGTGTACTAATAAAGTCGATATCTTCCTTATTGTCAAATTAAAAAAATTGCAAATATTACCTAAAAATTTAATTCGTCAAGACATCGAATATACCAATAAAGTTGATATTTCTCAAGACGAGTCGCATCTTAAGACTTCAAAAAACGATTATGTCATAGGTATCTTTGAAATCGAGACATTTCATAACTGGGGTATTATTTGAGCTCCTTTCAACCGTATATTTAAGGTCTAGTGACTTCTTTGAGAGCAGTCCACGTGGACCTATGGCTTCCGGAAGTGCATCCATGGCGACACTTTCAAGGAGGTTCACCTGTCCGTCCAAACCTCGAAGAAAAGTCAATTATAACAATTGCACCTGGACAAATAGCCCTTCTTCTCAGACCAGGTCGAGTGATTCCAGTTCACGAGGTGAGCGAAGCGAAAATTTTTAAAATCCTTTATCGATTTTCACTTCCGGCTCCTCTCTCTCGATAACTCGCGAGGCGGTCGTAGTGGAAATCATTTTTAAAAACCATTAATCGATTTTTACTCCCGTCTCCTCTGTCCTTAAGGTGATATGAAAGTGTGATATATACATAATAAAAAATGAAAATATTTATAAACCTTTTTTCCAAACTGGGTGTTCCGAATTATCTGAAACTTTAACACGTGATTGTGGAGGCTCTAAGAAAGAACGCGCTGCCCGTGAAATTTAATTTTTCACAAAAAAAAGGGATCTTGGTCCTAGTCTAGGGTAAATAAAAAAAGGTTCTTTTTTCGAAAAATGAAACTTTGCGAGGTTCAAGTTCGTCCTTATGGCTTTCATAATCACGTGCTGAAATTTGGAATTATTGAAATTACATTGAATTAATTTCGTTTGAAATAATATGGCGTGAAATAACTGATAAACTCATTTTTTTTTGTAATTTTGACTTAGACCACTTTCATAATTATGGGCACATATATAAAATGTAAAACCTTAAGGTGATATGAAAGTGTGATAAATACATAATCAACAGTGAAAATATTTATAAAACTTTTCTCCAAATTAAGTGCACCGAATTATCTGAAATATTAACACGTGATTATGGAGGCTCTAAAAACGCGCTGCTCGTGAAATATAATTTTTTACAAAAAATTTTGCATCTATCTCGAACAAGGACCAAAAAAAGATTTTGTCTTTCGAAAAATGAAATTTCATTTATTCCGTTATTCCGTATATCATTATATTTTATTCGTTATTCCTCGGGGCCTCCATAATCACGTGTTAAAGTTTCAGATAATTCGGTGCACCCAGTTTGAAGAAAAGTTTCATAAATATTTTGACTTTTTACGAAAGAAATTATATATATCACACTTTCGTATCACCTTAAGATGCTTATTGTTAATCTGATTTTCCCGGAAATTGCGCAGTCACAGTCGCGGTGCATTTTGAAATTATCGCGGATGTTTTTAGAGCAACTCGGCGTTATCGGAGAATTTAATTGCGCGGTAGAATCGCGGCGATTTATCCTCCCCTGAATAGAGATGTATTTTAATCGAGTTTACTTTTCCCTCAGCAAACCTCCATGACGTCCATGGAGACCATGAAACAGGACTTCAGCCTTTTCGCGAATTTAATTCCGGATGGACAATGGGACGCAGTAGGAGAGGTGTTTTATGGACAAGACTATATGAATGGGACATTTATGTCAATTTATATTACCAACACGACTTTGACACTGGGGAATCTGGAAGCTGTCAGAGAATTCGCATGCCAGGATGTTAAAACGCAGTCCACAGTAATAAAAGTCCTGAATATCCTCGGCGTAGAGTCATACAACATAGACAAAGATTTTTGCATCACACAAGGAGCGGAACTAAAATTTATTTATCGTTAATATACGGATTTAGTGAAATAAGTTATGCGATAGGACGCGTAAGAAAAACCCAAAAGCTCGGGTGGAAGGTGTAATTAATTATACGTTATTGTTTAAGTATAAGTAACAACATAGACAAAGATTTTTGCATCACACAAGGAGTGGAACTAAAATTTATTTATCGTTAATATACGGATTTATTGAAATAACTGATGCGAGTGGACGAGCGAGAAAATTCCTAAAGCTCGGGTGGAATGTTTAATTAATTATATGTTATTGTTTAAGTAAGTAACAACATAGACAAAGATTTTTGCATCACACAAGGGGCGGAACTAAAATTTTTTTATCGTTAATATACCGATTTATTGAAATAAGTTATGCGATAGGACGCGTAAGAAAAACCCAAAAGCTCGGGTGGAAGGTGTAATTAATTATATGTTATTGTTTAAGGGAACGTAATAACATAGACAAAGATATTTACATTATGCAGAGAGCGGAACTAATATTTATTTATCGTTAATATACGGATTTATTGAAATAACTGATGCGAGAGGACGCGTGAAAGGTGCCAAAAGCTCGGCTGGGATGTGTAATTAAATAATAATGTGTAATTAATTATGCGTTGTTTAAGCGAACGTAACAGCATAGACAAAAATTTTTGCATCTCACAGGGAACGAAATTGATATTTATTTGTCGTTAATATATCGATTTATTGAAATAAGTGATGTGAGGAGACGCGTGAAAAATTTCCAAAAGCTCGAGTCGAATGTATAATTATACAGTAATGTGTATCTAATTATACGTTATTATTTAAATGAACGTAATAACATAAACAACGATTTTTGCATCACGCATGGAGCGAAATTGAAATTAATTTATCGTTAATATATCGATTTATTGAAATAAGTGACGCGAAAGGACGCGTGAGAAAGTGCCAAAAGCTCGGGTGGAATGTGTAATTAATTCGTTATTGTTTAAGTATAAGTAACAAATAGGCAAAGAATTTTGCATCACACTGGGAGTGGAATTAATAAATCATTTCTTTGGTGCTATTCAAAGAAATATTTCTTGGATTTAATTAATCTTCTTCTCAGGGCATATTATTCAACAAGAGAGCCGAAATTGGTTTATGCGGCATACTGTAATTATTTATCAGCTAATTGCTAAGCTCGTACGTAGAGGTAATCTCATTCGGTGTTAGTCCCGAGACTTGGAACTTAAGTTCTTGGCAAAATCGAGTAACTTTGACTGAGGAGGCGGATAATTTTCGAGGCGATGTCGCACGATATCCCACTTGCATGAATAGGAATAATCAGGGTAATTGTTGCTTGGAGGGATTTGCGGAAATATGTCAAACGTTTCCTGCATTTGCTTTTCGACAAATCGGCGAGGTCATTAAAGAGAGAGCCTTACGGAAGCTGCACCGAGGAAAACAATTTACTTGAAGGAAATTATTTCCTTGAGTGGAGTTAAGGAAATGTGAAACGCGTCGAGGAACTTGATCGACGTCGGTAAAGAAGACTTTTCTAAATACATACATTGTCGACGTTGGTTTTTATATCGACAGCTGTGTCGAATTATATTGGGTATTGTACTAAATGCCGTACTGCATATGTCGTTTCCGTACAATAATTATTAAAAAATCCAAGTAAAGCTCCAGAAATCCCCTAGATTCTAGGTTTTGAGGCCCTAATTGACTGGGAATTCCCTACTAGCCCAAAATATTTGCCCTATATTTTATCCATCTATTTAACGAATATCGTACATTTTGTATTCTGAATGGAAGAACAAGTAATTACTCCAAAGAAATATTTGCATTTCATAAAATAAAATGATAATACTCTGGGGATTCCCTTAAAACTATCACGGATTTAAGGTGAAGTGAAACATGTCGAGGAATTTCATCGACGTCGATGAAAAAGATTATTAAAAATACTAACGTTGGTTTTTATATCGACAGCTGTGTCGAATTATATTGGGTATTGTACTAAATGGCGTACTCCATGTGTCGTTTCCGTACAATAATTAGAAAAAAATCGAAGTATACAAAATGTACGATATTCGTTAAATAGATGGAAAACTATAAGGCAAATATTGAAAAAATCTTTTTTATCGACGTCGATCAAATTCTTCGACGTGTTTCACTTCACCTTAATTACGTGATAGATTTAAGGGAATCCCCAGATTATTATCATTTCTTCACATGAAATGCAATTATTTCTTTGGAGTAATTCTTGTTCTTCCTTTCAGAATACAAAATGTACGATATTCTTTAAATAGATGGAAAAAATATAGGGCAAATATTTTGACTCCTAAGGAATTCACAGTGAATTAGTGCCTCAGAAACCATGAATGTAGGGGATTTCTAGAGTTTTACTTCGATTTTTTTTATAATTATTGTACGGAAACGACATATGGAGTACGCCATTTAGTACAATACCCAATATAATTCGACACAGCTGTCGATATAAAAACCAACGTCAGTATTTTGAAAAATCTGTTTTATCGACGTCGATCAAATTCACTTCACCTTAATTACGTGATAGTTTTAAGGTAATTCCCAGTGTATTATCATTTCTTCGCATTAAATGCAATTATTTCTTTGGAGTAATTACTTCTTCTTCTCCTTTCAGAATATTTTTATTTGTTCCAAATGAGCGTTATTCAAAGAAATGTCCCTAAGGGAGGGAAAAGCGACGGGAAAGAGAGGGAAGTCGCAAAGCTCAGGTGATACGCGAGCTTCGAGCTTGCGAGTACGCAAACTCGAAAACCCGGCTTGCACCTCTCGAAACATTAAGTCCCATGTCATGCAACAGACTGCATCGTGTTCCCATCTTCCGGCGAAAGTTCCCCATTATTTTTTTTTATTCCCCTTGTCGAGTGACGTGTTAGAGAATGTGTTAGAAACGTTTCGAGGGGAGACAAAGGGAGCGCGACATTTTGCTACCGCTTAAAAAGCAAGTAAATAATGTAAAAAGAACGATGTCGACGCGATAAAAATAAAATAAATTGCGAAAAGAATCTTATATCATTTTTAGAAATTTAATTATTGAGGTCTACGTAGGTATCATTCATAATAAATTTCTATCATTCAAAATAAATCAAATAAAAAATGTCAACGCGATAAAAATAAAGTAAATTGCGAAAAAAATCTGATATCATTTTTAGAAATTTAATTAATGAGGACGACGTCAGTATCATTTATAATAAATTTCGATCATTCAAAATAAATAAAATAAAAAATGTCAACGCGATAAAAGTAAACTAAATGGTGGAAAGAATCTGATATCATTTTTAGAAATTTAATTAATGAGAACGAAGCCAGCATCATTCATAACAAAATTTCGATTATTCCAAATAAATAAAATAAAAAATGTCAACGCGATAAAAGTAAACTAAATTGCGGAAAGAATCTGATATGATTTTTAGAAATTTAATTAATGAGAACGATGTCAGCATCATTCATAATAAATTTCGATCATTCGAAATAAATAAAATAAAAAACAATGTCAACGCGATAAAAGTAAACTAAATTGTTAAAAATTATTTTTTTAAGGTTAGATGTATAAAGGACGTTGTTGAAACAATTAAAGTGAAATAAATCGCGAAAAGGCTGAAACTGTTTTCCGCGTTAATTTAAAATAAAGCGTTTTTACTCGTTAATTAGAAGAGAAATTAGATGAAAAAGAAACGGCTGTAAAAACTGTAAAATTAACGTTACACAATTTACGATATTATAAATGTATATTATTGTAATGCAAACTTTAATGTTTGGGATCGCAGTAATGTTGTTTCAATAAATTTCGACGATGTTACGGCAATTCGTCCCCGTAATGAAGTAATTGGGAAAAAAAAGAACTATTAATGTGAATTAATCGAAATTAATGTTCCCTCGTTACCTCTGATGACCTCTATGCTGATTGTAAAAACATAGTTAATTTACCCTTGGGCGTTATCGAGGATTGTTTAAACATTCACGATCGTCTCTTCAATGTGAAACTAATTATTCCGTTTGACGAAGCAGAAAATTGTTTATGGAGCCGAGTGCAATTGTTTTCCAACTTTCCGCGGTGGCTCTTCTATAGAAAATTACCGTCATTTCCTAAGGGGTCATGAAATAAAAAAAGACAGGTACAGGACTTTCCTTTATCTTGAATTTAACCGGAGGTTAGCTTCTCAAAGTTAAGGACAATTATTTCCGCGGTTAAAATTCTTGATGGAAACCAATGCCTCCGTAAAAAAATGGAGATAAATTTCGCATCGCTTAAACGGCATAAATAAATTAATAAATATGTCGTCAGATACAATATAGCTACACTTTTCCCTTTTTTCTATCCGCTCAATCAATCGATTAGGAACTTTAATTGAACTCTAGTTTTGTTCAATTAAGCAGGCAAAGCGGTTTATCAGTTGTTTCTCTCGGCTTGCTTGTTAATCCGCTCATTCGAATCCATCAATTAATTACACTGTAAATTGATCCTTTACATGCGGCGTTTCCGTAAACAAGGAACTCCAAATGGGGAATCATTTGCAGTTCGATTCTACCCCTACAAAATATTCGTCCTATATTTTGTATATAGTTAACGAATATCCTACATTGTGTAAATATTTAGCAGACATTTGAAATATTTGCCAAACGTTTACTTTAGAATATTATCTCTATAATATTTATATAATATTACCTCCATGTGTTTTCATAATATTTTTCTACCAGATATGCAAAACATTTCGTTTCATTTTAATACAAGTATTTTTTAAATATTATCTGCCGAATACATTATAAACGTTTTAAAAATATTTAAAATCAAAATCACACGTTTTGCTCCCATAATGAAGTAGCGGAACGAAAATATTAGAAAAATTTCTCGTGTTTTTTTGTACCAAATGAAATGTTCGATAATAGTCGTGAAGTAAAAGAAATGTGTTTTTATTATATATTCATAAATTAAAAAATATAATTCCTATATATGTATATTAATTATTGAAACTAAATATGTCATTGAGATTTTCAAGAAATATTTCAAATATCTTCCAATGAAATCTGCAGGAAATCTTGAAAAATCTGTCGCTTGAGATATTTAGCAAAGATTACAAACAAATATTTAGAAATTATTCTATGCTACTAGGGGTAAATCGTTTTTATATGGAGACTCGACATACAGGAAATAAATCGAGCATATTTTTTGAAAAATGAGACAGCCGCAAACGATCGACAAGTGCGCCTCGAATGATCGGATTTTCTCGAATTGACAAAGGCATGAAATCGGAAGCGATTCTTTGAAATGGCGAGTACATCCTGTACTTCAGTTACATGTACTTCAAAAGGACTCGAATCAACACTAGTAGTACAGAATAATTTATAAATATTTTTTTACATCGCGAGTGGATCTTGTATTTCAATTTCGCGTACTTCAAAATGACTCGAATCAACACTTTTAATACAGAATAATTTATAAATATTTTTTTAAATCGCGAGTGGATCTTGTAATTCAATTTCGCGTACTTCAAAATGACTCGAATTAACCCTAGTAGTACAGAATAGTTTATAAATATTTGTTTGTAATTTTAACTTAGTTAATTTAACAGATTCTTTAAGATGTCTCGTACATTTCATTTGAAGATATCTGACAAAATTTGTTGAAAATCTCAATGACATATATAGTTTTAGTAATTCATAAACGTATATTGAAAGTACATTTCTTAATTTACGATTATGATCCGACACTTCATTTTGGGCTACTAGGGAATTCCCGATTGATAAAGTGGCATTAAATAACATTTTTGCATAATCTAAAATAATTTGGAAAAAAAGCAGAATAACTAAGATTTCAAGATTCCGAAATATTCAGATTAAAATGAACTCGTCTTTCTCCAATGTCCATCATCTAAATATTTTTTTGTGAGTGCTGCGTGGGTATATTTTTAATTATGAAAATTCCCGTGTTTACCAATGATTATAAATAGTAAATATTAATTAATAGAAGGCTAAGGGTGGGCGAGGAAATTCGGAGGAAAAAAAATGTCAACGAGGCTCGGCTGAAAATTTCTCGAA